CTAGATGGATGAAGTCCAGGGAACCCAACAAAATACAGTTTCACCTTTCCTATTGGTGGGAGGGCAGCTGTTGTACAATGGGTGCTTATATGGGCCTCTTCCCCTAAGGGAGGAAGTGCTGCAGCTGTGCCACAACAACAAAACAAAACGAGGGGATATGTAAGACACAACACAGACTTGTAAGAGAATGTTGGTGTCTGAATGTCTGTGCCAAATTAGAGGCTTATGTTTCCTCTTGTCATTTTACCATCAGAGAGCAAACCTACTCCCCAGTAAATTAGCTAGATTATTGCAACCGCTAACCTTCCCAACTCACCAATTCTTGGCCACTGTTTGTCTGGAATTAATCTCTGATCTTCCTTCACTGTGGGATATATTACCAAACAGGTGATAGTGAATTTATTTATCCAACTAGGCCACTTACTCCTTGCAAGGATTTCCCAATGGACCAAGACATGGCTCAACTCTTTTTAAACACTCGCTATACTTGCTTGCAACAGTACTATATATTCCTCTATTGGTATGTCCCCATTCAAGGCAAAGTATGGATTCCACCCTTCTTTGCTCCACAGATTTCCTGGATGAGAGACAATCAGTGCAAAACCTCTAAAAGGAATAATTCAAGGTGGCAAATTTTGGTTATATCAAGACAACAAATATGAATTAGTCCAGACCAGCATCTGAAGGCCAGGGCCTCCCAAAAATCTGCTAACCAGCAATTGAAGTTGGAAGCTATAAACAATATGGAAAACGATGGAGATATGCATATTGCTGTGAAATAGTGTTAAGGCTCTTCTTTTCCTTTTTGTGATGTTCAGGGATATTATGTAAACTTGTGTTAGCTTTTGTGCAACATTATGAGTACCTGAGGAAACTCCAACAACACTGATTTGGTGTAGACCCAGGATACAAACAAAAAAAAAAGCCCATATTTATAGCAAACAGGTTTTATTTATTTTCCCATTCCCATACGATGGATTGAGAATATTATTGGACATCACATTCCAAATCGCTCTTGAATTTCAGACAAATCACATCCAGTGCAATCAATGAAGGCCAATGATGTTATTGAGAAGATCTCCAGTTGAAAGTGAACACTAACGGTTGCATTTGTCAAAGCCACAACAAACCGCACTAATTCCTGATCCTGGCACTGAATTCAGAAGTTGACACTCATACTGTGAGCTGCACCTTTTGGCATACCTTGGTGGCATACCTACAGGGAAAAAAATACTTTGTAGTTGCTGTTGGAAAAAATAAATATAATTTTTCATTTCACCATCATTGTCTTTTGTTAATGATGGAAAGTAAGAGATAGAGTACGCCCTTTCCTCATTTGATCAGGAAGCTGGGCCAGGCATGCAGCACATCCACATTATTCCAAATTCTTGCTTCTTTCATGTGAAAAATGTGTTGGATAGCAAGACTGAGACCGGGGGAGGGTGGTGAGGTCTGAAAGTGACACGCCTGCTCCCCTGAGAGCAATCCTGATCTCCAAAAGAATCAGCAGGATGTCTGGTACTGCATTGGCAATCCCATTATTAAGCATTTTGCTTGCCCTGTAATCCAAGTCTTGTAAAGGAGCTTGAACTTGAAGTAATGAGTAACATTGCATAAACTGTTGATAAAGGATTGTCCCTCATTGTTCTTCTTGAACAATACTTAGGGCAACCCTTGCATTTGTTCCAGGGCCCAGATTAATTTAGTCAGTTCTGTTGTTTGGATACCTGAGACACTAATGCAAATTTTGGTGGGCTGTGGAAGCTACTTATTCCAGGATTCCTTCAGTCCTGAAAGGTGCATCCTGAGCTAAAGAATCCCTGGACATGTTATTGCTAACAATGGCTGACTCCATAACAATCATTGGGTACGGTATTGCCTACATCAGAGGTAAGCAACCTTGGCTCTTTTATGACTGGTGGACCTCAATACCCAGAATTTCTAAACCAGCCATGCTGACTCAGGAATTCTGGGAGTTGAAGTCTACAAGTCATAAAAGAGCCAAGGTTGCCTACCCCTGGCCTAGGTTCAGAGAGAAGCAGAGCTAAAATTCACCTCAGGTCTCTTGGGCCTCATGAGGTGAAGGTTATGGCCCTTGCACAGACAGAGCTAGTACTCAGAAAGCAATGTACCCTGCAACCACTTCCAGGAGAAAATTCAATCATTATAGTGGTGAAAAAAAAAATAAAGTAAATATAATTATGTTGCACACTATACTTACCAGGTCCAAAAAAGAATATTGTTATACATCGGTCTTGACCATCAGAGCAGGTAACTGTGTTAAGACAGCTTCCTCCATTGGGACAATTATAACATACCAGAGCATCCACAGCTGAAAGAGAGGAGGCAAAACAACAACGCGATCTGCAATTTCCATCACCTATCTTTTTGCCAACATATTGCATCAATGGGATTTGGGAGCAAAATTTTCAAAAATCATTTGCATCAAAAATTTTGGAAAGTTCCAGCTCTATGATTCAATTTCAAATTCAAAAAGATTTGAGAATTCAGACCTCTGGGAAAAGTGGCAAATGGAAGACAGCTCTGCTAAATGTAGAACTGCTGACCTTGGCAGAATGAAAAGCTGGTGAGTAAACGGCTCTTTGTAATTCCCTTCCAGAAAAGAAAAAGACCTCAGATTGCCCACAAGAGCTCCAGACAACTGCTCCTTTCAAGAAAACAGTGTTATCTGGCAAGTTTATGGCTCTGGCAGAAGAGACTGCTCAAAGTGATCGAACCCTAGGTTTGCATACTTCCCTTTCAAATCATATTTAAAAATTGTTTCTTAACAGCTTTTCAGTTGTTTTCGAACTTTGAGATCAACAAGTCTAAAACACCACATGTGTCTCCTTCTGTCCCTTGTGAAAGGACTTTTAAATACAAGTTTAAGAATTTTTAAAAATAATTAATAAACAGCAAAAGGATGATTAGAATTTTGATTTAGAAAGCTATACATGGAATAAAGTTCCAGATGGATTCAAAATATGATTTTGGGATTAATTGTAAGAATCTTTCTGAAGGAAAAATGCTTTTGCTTTGGATTTTTTTCTTTTTCTAAATGATAGGTTGAGACTTTGAAACTTGGCCAATAGAGAGAAGTAGAACAAACTAAACATTACAATTAAAGAGAAGAATATTTAAATTTGACTTTCTATTTCAAAATGGAGTAAAATATTTTAACAGTGAGCATATTGAAGGATATTTTGGAACAATGGACCTAGAAGTTAATTTAAAGAGTGATTACCTATATAGATAGACTGTGTGAGATGGGATATGGGAAGATGGGATCATTTGTTGTCTTTTAAGAATATAGAATAACAGAGGTGGAAGGGATCTTGGAGGTCTTCTAGTCCAACCCCTGCTCAGGCAGGAAACCCTATATCATTTCAGACAAATGGCTGTCCAGTCTCTTCTTAAAAACTTCCAATGTTGGAGCATTCACAACTTCTGGAGGCAAGTTGTTCCACTGATTAATTGTTCTGTCAGGAAATTTCTTCTTAGTTCTAGGTTGCTTCTCTCCTTGATTAGTTTCCATCCATTGCTACTTGTCCTACTTTCAGGTGCTTTGGACAATAGCTTGACTCCCTCTTCTTTGTGGCAACCCCTGAGATATTGGAACACTGCTATCATGTCACCCCTCATCCTTCTCTTCATTAAACTGGACATATCCAATTCCAGCAATCGTTCCTTATATGTTTTAGCCTCCAGTCCCCTAATCATCTTTGTTGCTCTTCTCTGCACTCTTTCTAGAGTCCCAATATAATTTTTTACACTGTAGTGACCAAAACTGGATGCAGTATTCCAAATGTGGCCTTACCAAGACGTTGTAAAGTGGTATTAACACTTCTCTTGTACTTGATTCTATCCCTCTGTTAATGCAATCGAGAACTATATTGACTTTTTTGGCAGCTGCCAAAATGTGGTAAGTTAAAATTGTTTATACTTGTTGAGACGAGGGAAGTCATTTCTTTATATATTTTTTCTTTTTGCTTACTACATTCTTATTTTTTCTTTTTTCCATTTTTTCCTGTACTTTCTTCTTCTATTTATTCTTTCATTTTTTAGTTTATATAAGTTTTTTAATCATTGAAAGTATACATTTTAATAAAATTACTGTTAGAGAATTCAGATACGAAGCTTTCTCTTTAGGAATTTAACAATTAAGAAACATTTACATTTTCTTCTGTTACACATTTTTTTGAATATGTTTCATGTCGCTTATTTACAGAGGGACCCAGGGAGGCAGTTTATACATATACATAAGTGTATGTGCCAAATATGTTGATGAGGAGAAGGGGAAAAAAAAAACCCCTGGTTAGAATCAGAATTGTACATTCACAACTTTCCTTCCTAGCAAATAAAAAAATTGTTCTTCTTATTTCTGATATGGTATAAAAAATAGAGGGATTCTAGACAGAGGATCCATGTCAGATGCAAACATGGAGCCAATAAATAGCCTATCACACAGTTTATCATGAGAAGTAGTGGACAAAAACATTATAAACAAAGGTGAGAAAACTGTCATATTTAAATAATAGGTTTAGAACTCTTTAGCATTCCTTGATCATGAAAGTTTAAAATGTCAAATCCCCTATCCTTTTAGGCAAGGCAGGAAAAAGATTCATCTTTTGCTTTGCTCTGTTGAGTGCAACCCTTTAACAACCCTTCTCGCAACTGCAGTGAAGCACCTGAATCGCACCCCGAGGAAAAGGAGGAGAGAGCGCAGGAACATTGGTAGGAAGGGAGGCCTAGGAGTGGGCGGACTTGGCCAATTCTGGCCATGGTGCCCCAAGTGCCTCCAAAGCCCCCTTTGATCTCAGGCATGCTTGTGCTGCCTTCTGGATGTAGGACCTCCAATCTAGGATCTCTCAGTTTTAAGAGGGAGGGACTGGGTCTGTGAGAGAAGAGCGGTCAGTGTTGAGTGATCATGACTGATAAATTACCTTGCGACCAAAGCACTACAGCAAGAACGCACAGGATTATTTTTCTCATTGTTTTTCTGGAAACGGAGGGCTTGCAGTCAAGAGTTGGAAATCAGGGTCACTTGCTGTTCACAGTATCTTTTCTTTCGATTTTCACAAAGGGCTCTGTGTAGAATGAATCTAGAGATTACATCTAAGTACATAACCTTATTTAATATTTGAGCTATTTGATATGTTAAGAACAATTAAAATTTATATTCTAACAAAACCAATTATCTTACCTGTTCTTTACATTCTTTGTGCCACTATGTTTTAGGAATTATCTTATATTTATAACGGGAAATGCTTCTCATAAAAAGATCCTGTTTTTCATGTATCAAAGGTAGGAAAGGGTAAGCCTCCAGAAGTTACTGACCACATCTCTGTATAGCGTTATCAGCCTAGCCAATGTTAATAGATGCTGGAATGTGTGGTTCACTATCATCTGGAAACACTGCAGCTGCCCTCCCTAATTCTTGCTATAGTATTTTTTTCTAATATATTCGGGCTGAGGAAAAGGAAATAATTCAAAATAATAAAAATAACAATCATAATCATAATATTTATAACTCCCCAATAACATTAAAACATTGTTTTCTCAGGTGTACTAAGCTTGTATTTCTTCCTTTAATTTAGAACATAAGATCCATACTCCGTAAATAAATTTCTCCTATATATTTATTATATAAATAGACATGTAATGAATTAAATCTATGTCTGCGAAAAGCTGAATCTTACCTTTGATACAGGTGAAAATGAAACCAAGCTGTGATTTGCTAACCTTGTGTACTGCTGCAAATATATATAGTTGTGCTTTCTTATTTCCTCCCTTTTTTGGGAGGGGGATTGCATTAATTATTCTGCAATCATTCTGGTGTAAGAGTGGTAATAGAAAGGCAAACCCATTTCTTAGATAATGGGTAAATAACTTTGTATGGGTCACAATGCAAAATTATGGAGTTAGAAAGCACCTGCATGCTGTAGCCAAGTAATTTTGTTTATTTATGGAGCTCGGCTGATAAGATGTCAAAGCAGTTTCTTACTGCTGATTCTTTGCCTGTTCCTGATTGCCTCAAATGAAAATATTTCCTCCACCCTCCACTCTAAAGTATTCTAAATATTTGATCTCCTGTTAAATACATACCCTATGGCCACTTTCTCTTTAGATTGAATTGGTGTAAACACATAAAACTGTGCTTTATTTAACTGGAACTTATTCAATAAGGGGCAACTGGTGGCTTGTACAAGACACTTTGTCATAGTTAAACAAAGACTAGCAGTGAACTGGTACAAGAAACACAGCTTGTCTTCCAGTTTTGCGCCCGTAGCATATGGTCATGGGAGAGCGAAGCTCCTCTCCACACAGCTGCTTTCATCCTTCCAGGGGGACCATAGATGGGTCCGAAGTCAGCCCAAAGAGGTGACCGTGAAGGAGGGGCACTCCATTGATCATGAAGCGACAGTAGTCACTTCATTTGATCTGGGGGAAGCCCTCCAACCCGACAGGAGAAAGGCTAGTGTGAGATCAGTGTCTAGCCCAAGCTATTTGCAGCCGAAGTCCAAGAGCACAAACCCAAACATCAATGAACAGCGTGCTTAGAATTGGTGAGAGTATTGATCTTCTTTCTTCTATCTACTAACTGAATCCTTGAGAAAGATCTCCAAAGCCAGAAAACCTCCAGAAGGGAAGGGAGGGGGCTATATCCCCATTTCCTTATAGATGAAAGTGGCAAATTAATATTAAGGAGGAAAGAGATATACTAAAATTCAATTTAAAATACTACAGTCTGGATAAAGTTAGGAACTAAAGAACTGTCAAGATTATACCCTAAAGTGTTTTGATGGAATTATAAAAAATACATAACAAAAAATAATTTTTGACTGAAAAAAAAAACTGAAAAAAGAAATAACAGCTGACACCTAGTGGAGAATCAGAGCATAGAACACCAACAATAAGAAACTGGCAGAATGCTCAGAGATAAAGAATAATCTGTTCCTTTGAATTGCAAATAATCTTGAAGACAGCTGGGAACAAAGGAAGAGCCAACTATAAGATTAAAAAGTGTCTGACAGAAAAAAAAACACCTGGACTGTTGTTTAAATTTAAGAACTGTTTATGGAAAAACTCTTAGCTCTTGGCTAATCTTTTAAAGGAGAATCTACAGGAAGTATTTAAAGTGGCTTAACATACTGAACTGTAATTTTGAACTGACTGATAATTGACCCTTGAATTAAAACATTGATGAAAGATTATTTGAAGGGGGGAGACAACATAGATATCATATACGTATCAAAAAATGACAGGATGCCACATTCAATATTTTCTCCTGAAGGATTTAGCCTGGAAAATCGAAGACTTCCAGAAGTAATATTTCAAGGCAAGACAAATACTTTCCAGGAGGAAATAAATGCAATGTTAGGACAAATACAAATGACAATAGAGTCAAACCACAAGGAAATTCGAAACAACTTTATTGATTTAAATAAGCATATTTCTAATTTAAATCTACAATTAAAAAACATCCAGGAAATAATGATGAATGAACAAATCAGATAACAGACCACTTCCGGTGGATCTGCGCGCGCGATGGCAGCTACTTTGTAGCCGTCCTCCTGGGTAAGTGTTTGAATCGCTATGAACAGTGGACATCAGCTGTTCAGCGGTTCAAAATCCCCCTCCCAGGCAAAGGGAGGGGGAAGAGGATTGTCTGAATAGTGGTAGAGCCTCTTATGCACCCCCAAGGCTTTTTTGGGGGGCTGAAAAGAGTGCTCCCATGGAGTTCAGACTGTCTCCGCTTCCCAGCTGCTTTTGTCTCTAGGGACAAAATAAGCCGCTGCAACCACCTCCGTGATTAAAGTGATCTGATGAGTTTTTCTTAGAAGCTTACAGAGCTGAGTAGAGGATTTTGCTTTTGCTTTCTCTGATTTTATTTGGATTTTAAGTTTAAAGATTTACATTTACTTTTATATTCCCTTTTTTATTTTTTTTTCTTTGTTGAAAGGGAAAGTAAAATGGCGATCGGCAGGCTCTTCGGTGTTTTTTTTCCCTTTTTTTAATGACTGGAACAGAATGTGGATTTGTTTATTTATAATGATTTTTTGATGTTGGGTTTGGATTTTAGGAGGATTATTATTTCTGTTTGACTTTTTTGTTTTGTTTTTTGTACTTTAAAAAAAATGGAACGGATTTTTTCTATTTAATTATTTTTTTCCCTTTCCCTTTTCTTTTTTTTAACTTTTCTCTTTTTATTATAATGATTTCCTTTTGAAGGATTTTTTGATTTTTTGGAGTTAATCTCTCTTTTTCTTTTGCTCAACTTTTTTTCTTTTTGGGATAATCTTTAAGAAGGAGTAAAGATTTTTTTAAGATGGCTCCAAAGCGTTCAGTAATTCCTACAGCTCCTAAGGTGGTTTCTTCTTCGGTGTTATCATCAGCGCAACAACCTAAATCAATAGCTTCACCCTCTTCTTTGGCACAGTCAATAATGGTGAAGGATTTGCAAGACATGATGGGAAATGTTATATCTCAAATTAGGGGAGAAATGAAAGAGATTTTAGAGAAAATAATAAGATTTTGAGGCAAGAGATAGTTTTGGCTTTAAAAGGAGTTGCCTCTGTTCTTGAAAAGCTGAACTTTCGCGTAGAAGAGGTAGAGAAAAAGTGGAATTGATGGAGGGAAAATTTGAAAGTATGGAAAAAGAGATGGAAAATTTTCAAAATGAGATTCTTATGCTTCAATATAGACAAATGGAATATGCTTTAAGAATTAGAGGCTTGAGAGAGTCTGTGCAAGGAGATCTGAGAGAGATGGTTGCAAATGACTTTGCTGTGATTTTGAATAGAGAAAAAGAGGAAATATTTAGTGAAATTGAAAAAATATTTAGAGTTAACTCTGTGGTGGCAGAGCAAAAGAATTTGCCAAGAGATGTGGTAATTTATTTTGGGAAAAGATCCCTGCGCAATGAAATTATACAAGCCTTTTATAAGAAGAGGTTTCAAATTGCTTCACAAGATGTTATAATCTTAAAGGAGATCCCATCTAAAATTTTAAGAAGAAGAAAGGAGTTTGCTTTTTTAGCAGATGAACTTAAAAAGAGGCAAATCTTGTTCAGATGGGATGTTCCGATTGGAATGGTGGTGAGTTACCTGGGGATACGTTACAGACTTAATACTGTTTCTAAGGCAAAAGACTTTTACACCTCGGTCCTGGGGGTATGCTCATCGCCATCTATTATGTTTAAAGTTTTGGAAGAGAAGAAGGTAGAATTGCAGTCCGAAGAGCCTATACTTATGAAAATTGGGAAATCTCAGTTCAAGGGGCCTCAACAAGTTGAGATGGAGGAGCAGAGGATAACCTGTACAACATATAACTGTAAAGAAAAGGAGCAACAGAAGAAGGAGGTCAAGGAAGCCTCACAAGTATTGGTTTCTGAATCTGCGGGAGAAGTAAGATTTATAAACTTTTTGGAGCAACTTTAAGGGTAGAATTGCAGTCTGAAGAGCCTATATTAATGAAAAATGGGAAATCTCAGTTCGAGGGGCCTCAACAAGTTGAGATGAAGGAGCAGAGGACAACCTGTGCAACATATAAACATAAAGAAAAGGAGCAACAGAAGAAGGAGGTTAAGGAACCTTCACAAGTATTGGTTCCTGAGTCTGTGGGAGAAGCAAGATTTATAAACTTTTTGGAGCAACCTTTAAGGCCAGATTTCAAAGCAATTCTTTCGAGGTTTATGGATAAGAGAGACTGATAAGGAATGTGTTTATTGTGGATGGAATTGGTTATTGGTAAAGATTTAAATATGTATAAGGGAATTTTAATGTTTTAAGTAATGTTTAAATTTGTGTTTTGGAGGGAGTTTATAAAGAATGATGGATAATAATATAAGTATGATATTAGAAAATGTTTAGAGTATATTATAATGTGTTTAATGATTGTAATTATAAAAAAAATTGGTTTTTTTATTATTATTATTTTTAAGAGAAGATAACTTGTTTAACTTAATGTATTTAGATTTGCTTAGGATTTATATGTGTTTTAAGTTTTTTTTTGATAGGAGAGAAGATTATGGAGATTGAATGAAAATTTTAGATAAGTTTAAGTTTAGTAATTCAAGGAGTATTCAAAAGAGTATTTATTCTTAATGGTATAACGAATATTTATATGTTTATTTTTGTGTCTTAGGATAAAGAAAGAGGGAGAGATTAGTTTTTATATTGTATGTGTCAAACCCAGCGTAATACCTACCCGGCTGTATTACAATATCCAGCGTTGCTTGAGCGGACGGTCGAATCAGGCGTTTCCAAGCAGCCCCGATGGAATGGCAAGCTACACCATCGGCGTCCGTCCTGCGCGTCGTCAGCAGATGGATCACGTGATCGCCTCATGTGGAGAGCAGTGCATGGTGTAGGAGTGACTATCCTGATCGAGAACAATGGGACGCTGTTTTGAAAGAGACGCTGGGTCTGACAGGGTTTGGTTTTCGCGAGAGAAGAGGGACTGGTGGGTGGAGTTTTATCACAGGGCGAGGTGAACGGGCGTAGCATGGGCAGGGTTTCCTTATAAGGGTTAATTAGGGTGTGTGTGGTGGGCGTGGCGCGGCGCGGTATTTAGAGTACTGGGATGGAGTCCTTCCCAGGGCAAACTTTGTTTCCTACACTGTGCATTAAACTTTGTTGGATCCTGTAACGTTCCTGGCGTGTTGATTTTTCCGCTTCAGCTAGGACGTTCCTTACAATAAGTTTGCCCTCCAAAAAAAATCCTTCTCGAAGCCAGCTGTCTGGGGCGTTATGGCAGAAGGAACACAAGGGGCGGACCCGGTAGACGCTGAGGAGGCAACGGAGCCCAACGAACAGCTGGAGAGTCCGGGCGTCAGCGACGCGGCGGTTACGCAGCCGGTGGTCCGACCGAAGGAGAGGGTTCGCATTCCCATGGCAGTGGAACCGGGGTCCAGGCTGCAACGTTCGGTGGGTGCTGAGGGCGAGTGGTGGCTCAGTTCGGCGTTGGAGTTTCCAGAGGACAGCAGGGGGCGGAGGTTGGCGCCGAGGTTCACGGGGTGGAGAGAACGCCGGGTGACCGGAGACCAGGAAGAGGAATGGAGCTGTTCTACGGCTCCAGGACAGTATACATTAGATGTCCTTAGAGAGCAGTTCGGGGAACGTCTTCATCCCGCCACGATTCATAGTCCCGCTAAGGGCAGCCTGTCCTATTCCTCTCGTTTCCACTTGTCGAGTCCGGAGATTAAAATGAAACCAGGTGACCGCTTTACGCTTCAGGACCCGGGGACGGGGCAGGCTGAGACAGAGTGTCCCCGTTATGGGCTGGGTGCGCGGCTGATGGGAGTTCAGCCAACAGGTCCTGATAGGCACGGGGCAGGCCCCATGGGAGCAGGATCCCGCCCTATATTACAACCGGAAGCTGCCCCATACGGAGGCCAGATGCCAGCCCCATGGCCCCAGAACATGATATGGAACCCCCCCCAATTACACTCACATTCGATGGTGAACCAGATCGCTTGGCAGTGTTCCTTAGCCATGTGCTCAATCATCTGGACCGCTATACCACCCTATACTCCTCCAATTGGGCGATGGTGGTGGCGGTGACGGCATGTTTGCAGGGAGAGGCCGCTGCTTGGGCCGCTGACCTATATAGCGACCAAGCTAGAGAAATAACTGATGTAGGTCTCTTCCTCGAGGCATTAAGGGCGAGGTTCGAGGACCCAACCCGTCTACAAAGGCCTGAGGCCCAGTTGGCGGGCTTACGGCAAAGGGGTAGGCCAGTGCAGGTCTATATCCGTGAGTTCCAAAAGGTGGCTGGGAGACTGAGATCGTGGCCAGATCGTTTGTTGATCCATCATTTCCAGGCCGGTTTGGATACGGACATACGTCGAGCCTGTGTAGTCAGAGGGGTCGTAGGGTGCCTGGTTGATTGGTTCAAAGCCGCTATGGAGTTGGAGTTTGGATTGAGGGATCGTCCCGGCGTACGTGAAGACAAACCGCAAGACCAGTCCGGGGGCAGCACTAATCAGACCATACCAGGTACCGCACGTCCGAAGCCCGTTTTCAGATGCTTTCGCTGTAACTGACCGGGCCACCGGGCTGCGGAGTGTGGGGTAGCCGACATAACCGGGCTGACTGGCACACCAACGGCAATCGGTAGGCCAGGTGCTACGCCAAAGAAAACTGCGGAAAAGTCAAGAGTTGCTTACCAGAAGAGTCAGACGCCGATCCAGCAAACCCCTGGCGATGCACCCCCGGCACTCCACGAATACAAGGAGGAAGGTTCGTGGAAGATCCGATGGTGAGTGAACCTATAGTTCCTTTTAATATCCCGGTAACATTAACAAGCCCGATTACCGGGGAGTCGACGCCCTACCAGGCGCTGATTGATACCAGTTGTACCAGATGTCTTATTAGCAAGGGGGTGGTGCGGCAGATGCGTATCAGGGTGACTCGACTGAAAACTCCAATTCGCTTCGAGCAGGTGGATGGTTCCCTGTTAGGGGGGGCCCCGACCACATTAGTGACCGAACCTGTTAGAATGGAAGTAGGTGCACATTGGGAGGTTTTAAGATTTATAGTAGTTCCCTCCATGTCCGAGCCCATTATCCTGGGGTTGGCATGGTTGGATAAATGGACACCAACTATATGGTGGGCAGATGGGTCCCGTCACCTAAGGCTTGCAGTGGGTCCCCAACCGCCGCCCCCAGAGCAGTATAATAGTGACAGGAAGGTGGAAACCGCAGATTCGCTACAGGAAGGGAGTCAGACCAAATATCCATCGGTGTATGATGATCTCGCAGCGGTCTTTAGCGAGCAGGAGTGCGACAGTTTGCCTCCCCATAGACGTACAGATTGCGCAATTGAACTTATTCCTGGCGCCAAACTGCCAAAGTCCCGAATGTACCCGATGACATTCGCGGAGTTACAGGAGATGAGGAAGTACGTGGATAAGAACCTGGCCAGAGGCTTTATAGAACCGGCACGGTCCCGGATGGCCGCTCCCGTATTGTTCCAGGGGAAAAAGGATGGGGGCTTAAGATTATGCGTGGACTTTAGGGGTCTCAATGCGGTGTGCATAGAGCAGGTTTATCCCCTGCCACTTATGAAAGACCTCCTGACCCATTTGGCTACCGGAAAAATCTTTACAAAGCTAGATCTCCGTGAGGCGTACTACAGGATACGAATCAGGGAAGGAGACGAGTGGAAAACAACATTTAACTGTCCGTTAGGCAGTTATCAATTCAAAGTGATGCCTTTCGGGTTACAAGGGGCCCTGGCTGTATTTATGCAGCTAATCAACGAAGTGCTGCACGATCATCTATACAGGGGTGTCCTTGTGTATCTGGACGACATACTGATCTATTCACAGACACTAGAAGACCATGTGAGATTGGTGCGCACGGTATTGCGAAAATTGTTAGATGCTAAACTCTACTGTAAGTTATCGAAGTGCGAATTCCACAAGGAACGTATTGATTATTTAGGATTCAGAGTTTCGGCAGCAGGGATAGAAATGGATCCTAGTAAGGTGCAGTGCGTGTTGGAATGGCAAGCCCCAAAGACCCGTCGTCAGCTACAGCGGTTCTTGGGGTTTGCTAACTTTTACCGACAATTCATCCCCTCTTTCGCTGATGTGGCCCTGCCGTTAACTCAATTATTGCGCACCAAGCATATAGCTGGGAAACTTCGCCCGGGACAACCTCTAGCCTGGACTATAGCCTGTCAACAGGCCTTTGAGTCCCTAAAAAGACTATTTGCACAAGAACCCGTACTAGTGCATCCTGACCCGGGTCGGCCCTTTGTTGTCCAGGCTGACGCCAGCGATGTCGCCGTTGGAGCAATTTTATTGCAACGTAATACTCAAGGTATGCTACAACCGTGCGCCTATACCTCCAAGAAGTTCACTGACACGGAACGGCAGTGGGCAGTGTGGGAAAAAGAGGCGTTTGCCGTTAAATGGGCCTTGTCCACCTGGCGCCATTTGTTGGAGGGCGCACAGCACCCCTTCGAGGTGTGGACGAACCACCAGAACCTAACAGTCCTCCAAACACCAAGGAGATTGGCGCCCAAACATATCCGATGGGCGCAATACTTTCAACGATTTAGGTTCCATCTGAAAGTCGTTCCGGGAGGAAAGAATTTTCTAGCAGATGCACTGTCCCGGCTACCGAAGTATGATAGCAGGAGAGAACAGGTGATTCATGCCATCATACCTCCGTGTAGTCCAGGTTCCACACGGCTAGAGATGAGCGCACAACTGATAACCTTCGAGGATGAACTGAAATCGGCCTTGTTAACAGATCCGTGGTTCCTAGCTAACCCCGGATTATTAACTCGCCGTGATGGTTTGGCCTGGTATGGAGATAAGCTATATGTTCCACAGGCACTAAGGAACCGGGTATACTACAGATGCCATGACTCTAAATTAGCAGGCCATTTCGGGTTTGTGAAAATGTTGCATTTAGTGAGACGCCAGTTCTGATGGCCGGGATTGAGGAAAGACATTGAAGAGTATGTAAAAGGGTGTCACGTATGCGCACAGGCGAAAGCAGTACCGAAAAAGCCAATGGGATTGCTACAGCAGGTATCCAACCCGAACCGGCCATGGCAGGACATCGGGATGGACTTTATCGTAGACCTGCCAAATGTAAGGGGCTACACGGTTATTTGGACGGTAGTCGATCTATTTTCGAAGCAGGCTCACTTTACCCCATGCAAGGGTCTACCATCCGCGAGAAGGTTAGCGAAAATGTTCGTGCAACATATCTACCGACTGCATGGGGCGCCCCGTCGGATTATTTCAGACCGTGGTGTGCAGTTCACGGCTCGATTCTGGCGCCGCTTTCTAGCAAGTATTGGAACCACACAAGGGCTAAGCTCTGCGTACCACCCTTGTACCAACGGGGCGGCGGAACGGGCTAACGCAGCTATCGAGCGATATCTACGCTGTTATGTGTCTTACCAACAGTCGGATTGGGTAGATTTTGTGCCATTTGCAGAGCTAGCCTATAATAATGCAGTACATAAAAGCACCGGTGTAACACCCTTCCAGGTGGTTTATGGGCGTGACATGGTCCCCTTACCCGAGTGTACATCACAGGACTCCCTCACACATCAGTCAGAAGATTGGTTGTCTCGAGCGAGTCAGGTATGGCGCACGGTGAAACAGGCGCTGGGCCAAGCGGAACAAGCAGCTAAATATCAAGCTGATAAGGGTCGTCGACAACCAGTTCAGTTACGAGTGGGGGATAGAGTATATTTGTCAACCAAATATATTAAGTTACAGGTACCATGCAGGAAATTGGCACCAAAATACATCGGGCTCTTCAACTAGGACGTTCCTTACAGTATGTATAGATTTAAAGGAACATTTTGCTTTAAATATATAAGGGAATTTTAATGTTTTAAGTAATGTTTAAATTTGTGTTTTGGAGGGAGTTTATAAAGAATGATGGATAATAATATAAGTATGATATTAGAAAATGTTTAGAGTATATTATAACGTGTTTAATGATTGTAATTATTATTTTTAAGAGAAGATAACTTGTTTAATTTAATGTATTTAGATTTGCTTAGGATTTATATGTGTTTTAAGTTTTTTTTTTGAAAAATTTTAACTAAGCCTGTACTCAGCTCTGGGAAGGTTGGAGGAGGGTATGAGAGGTTTGGGGAGGTGGGGGAGGGTAT